GTGCTCTGCTGTCTGTTCTACAATCCCATCAGAATGGATTTTTCATAAACTTTATACATTAGGAGTTATAATTTTTTTTTTTAAATTTGCCGCATATTTCAAATGTCCTATTGACAATTTTTTTTACAGTAAACTATACTAAAAATCTATATTCTAATTTAATGAAAATGAAGATCATATGCTATTCTGAGAGAATAATAACATTAAATGAACAATTAATGATAGTTCATATTTTTTATTCTGAATTGAAAATCTGAAGATTTCAATATTCAATTTTAAAATTAATTTTGATTCTCTGGTTTTTCAAGTTACACTGTGATAATTTAGACAAAGTTGGAGCATTTACCTAGTTAGTTATGCAAAAAAAATTGGAAAGTGTTTGTGCAAGTTTTAAAAACTTAACTTAAATTATTTTTTGTCAAATCATGTATGTATTGCGCAGTCTAAGGGTTAAGAGGACATAAGAGGAAGTTTGTTTCCTAGAAGCTGTAGATTTCTTCGAACTCCACTGATACCGGGCAGGAACCGAGGACGCAGCGACCATTTCCCCTCTGGATCGCAACACTGAGGCACTGGAAGAGAAAACTTGCCGCTCTAGGGTATCTTGTAGTGTCAATGAGCCTGGGAACCAAGATCCTTAAGAAACCTTGCGCTCTCACCCCATGGGCCTAGGGTCTCGGATCCTGTTGGAACGAAGTTGTACCGGTGCTCTAATTCCCTGTACTTGGTTGACTTGTATCTTTCTCTGTGTGCCGCCATGGCTCCTGCTTGGCCGGCAGAGAGGTTGATGTATGTGGTTGCCAGGGTGGATATGCAAGTATAGTCCCATGCCAACTGTCTGCCACCCTTCCAAGGGCGCAGTGTGATTCCGTCTGGTCGGCCGGCAAAGCTAACAGAGTCACGGTTCAAAAGATTTTGGGGCTCTCTCTCTACTGGACACTGGGCAGAGGCAATATATATACTGTATATATAAAATATATAAAATATATAAAATATATATATATCTATATATATATATATTATATGCAGGCGATGAGTCATAATAACGTGGCTGAAGTATGTTGACCAGACCACACACTAGAAATTGAAGGGACGACGACGTTTCGGTCCGTCCTGGACCATTCTCAAGTCGATTGTGAGAATCGACTTGAGAATGGTCCAGGACGGACCGAAACGTCGTCGTCCCTTCAATTTCTAGTGTGTGGTCTGGTCAATATATATATATATATATATATATATATATCTATACAGTGGAACCTCTATTAACGAGTTTAATCCGTTCTGGCACCGAGCTCGTTATCTGGAAAACTCGTCTTAAGAAACAAATTTCCCCATTTAAAATAAAGGAAATAAATTTAATCCGTTCCACTCCCAAAAACATCCATACTTGTATGACATTTTTTTATGTAAATATAATACTGCACATGTAATTATAAATGTTTTGTTATACTATTTTAATGTTTACTTTGCCTTATGAAGAGTAGTTGCTGGCTTGAGGGAGACGATGGGGAGGTGGGAAGGAGGAGAGGGGTTATGGTGTGGAAGGAAAATCCATCTCTGAGTCAGGCGGATTCTCTCTTCTTGGGAATTTCACCCAAATTTCATTTCAAATGTCACACAAGGATGCGTTAGACCAGCACCAAATAAAAAACTACGTTGAATGCACTCGTGTCAACAACACAATGGTCTTACCACGAAGATACAATAAATGCCTTTCTCCCAAATAGACTATGTGGCTATTAGAGAAAATGGAAATTTCATGGCAAACATGTTTATACTATCCCTAAGTCGATCGGATAAGAATTAGATTTTATAGAAATATTTGCTCAAATGACACTTGAGCGCGGTGTTTGGGTGCATTCAAGAGAAAAAAGTGTGTCACGTTCAAGCGACATATACCTGCGAAAGTGATAACACTTTCACAAAGTGATAAATTAATTAAACATTTTCACACACCGGGTTGTCACCGCTTTATCAGAGCAGCTTTTCCAAGAATGCATTCACCTTTTCAAACATTCCCAACACTTCCCTGATCTCAGTGGAAGAGGCAACATCCTCCCTTACCTCCTCATTCCCTTACTAATGGTGTAAATTGTTGATGAGGACCTGCCATACTCCCTTGTGAGATCAGTCACACAGACACCACACTCATGCTTTGCTATAATTTCCTTCTTCAAATCCACAGTAATTGTGTCTTCCTCTTGAAAACACTATCTTTAGCAAGCAGCTTCTTTGGCGACATCGTGCGTTACAAATTGTAGTCACAAAACCACTAAAAACACAAAGAAAAGCGCAAATAAATCCAAAGGGATGCTTGTCGTGTGCGATACAACAACAACACTGGCGTCGGAGGCGTCCAAGAATTTGCGAGAACCCACGAGACGCTAGGAAGCACCATGTGGTTTTGCTTGTTAATAGAGGTGAAGCTCGTCAATAGAGACAAATTTGCTGCGAGTGGCTCGCTCGTTACTGGAAATGCTCGTTAATAGAGCCGCTCGTTAATCGAGGTTCCACTGTATATATATATATATATCTATATATCTATATATATATATATATATATATATATATATATATATATATATATATATATATATATATATATATATATGACAATGTCAGACCACGGAGGAAAAATGAAACAGGAATTTCCTTAAGTACTTTCGTATATTAAATACATTTTCAGAAGGTCCAATTAATTTCATATACGAAAGTACTTAAGGAAATTCCTGTTTCATTTTTCCTCCATGGTCCGACATTGCCACATTCTTAATCACGTGTTTATTTTCGTGATAGATAGATAGATAGATATATATATATATATATATACACACACACACACACACACACACACACACACACACACACACACACACACACACACACACACGCACGCACAATGTGTGTGTGTGTGTCTCTTCTTAAGAGACGTTGGTCTCTCTTAAGAGACCAACGTCGTCTATGCCTTCAAATGCCCTCTTGGGGACTGTAAGCTCCAAAAAACCCAGTATATAGGCAAGACAACAACATCTCTTTCTAGGCGTTTAACGATGCATAAGCAACAAGGCTCCATTAAGGAACATATAATCTCTTCCCACAACCAAACCATCGCCAGAGAAATCCTAGTAAACAACACAGAAATCATTGATAGATACAGCGATAGCAGACGGCTTGACGTTTGCGAGGCACTACACATTAAGAAGTCAACACCAGCAATCAACAGCCAATTAATGCACAACTATATTCTACCCACCTCAAGACTCCGCCCCAATATAGAAGCATCAAGAAATATGGACCAATAGGCTTTCTACAATCACTTCCATTCAATACCCATTGTTTTGTGTTCTGTCTTGTGTTGATGAATTTAATGCCCTATTAAATACCACCTCACCCCATCCACCTCACTCAAATGTAGATATAAACAAATCGGAGATGTGTAAGTTCTATTCAGTTGTGTATGTGTAAACTAAAGTCTTTGAAAATGTAATAAGTTTTACGAAACGTGCTCAAGTGTCGCGTCAGACTAGAAATAAAAATGAATTTTGGAGAATTGATTTTTGAATTACCACCAACAGTGAAAAGAAATGTACGAAAGATTGAGAAAATTCGTGTTAGAATTATTAATCTTACTTTTTCGGTCATATTTAATAATATATGTCTACAGGAAAGACTGCTACCCATCTACCATCTACCCATCTACCCTGCTACCCTTTAAGCCCATCATCACACAGCAAAAATCTGCTATCAGAATAATAACTAACTCTGCTTTCAGACAACACTCAGCTCCCTTGTTTAAATCTCTAAACTTGCTAAATATTAACTCCCTCCACACATTCTCTTGTGTCAACTACATTTACAAAACCCTGTTCTTAAATGCAAACCATGCTCTGAAACTCTCCCTGGACAGATGTAATAGGACCCATTATCACCACCCCAGAAATAAATATCTCTTTGATATCCCTAGGGTCAAACTTAATCTGTGTAAACACTCTATGCAAATTAAGGGACCTAGTCTATGGAACTCACTCCCTAGTGAATTGAAAAACTGTAAAACTTTTGCCTTATTTAAAAGCAAAACCAAAAAGTACCTAACTTCATCTATTTAGTTTCCTACACTGAGCTTTAAATTTGCTCTGTACCTAGTGTTACCCAATCTCCTAATTTTGATGTAATATCAAACAACCTTATCATTGTGTTCATTGCTGTCTTCTTTTATGTGCTAGCCATATGCTGTATTGTGACTACCAATTTTTGTCAACTACCATTCAAGCTGTCATTGCAATCAATCTTATATTGTTTCTGCTGTATTGTGCCTACCAATTTGTTGTCAACTACCATTTTAAGCTGTCATTGCAATCAATCATAGCTACCTATGTGCTTTAATATACTGTACCTATAATTTTCTCTCGTCTTTTTTTTTTCATTCCATGTAATGTTATCATTTTTTTGTCTATAAATTTTGCAAGTATTTACCTCCTTAAAATTTTCTTAGATTAAGGACCTGCCCGAAACGCTGCGCGTGCTAGTGGCTTTACAAGACTGTAATTACCATAATTGTATCCTCACATTCCTTATGTACATTCTTGTATATGCATAAATAAATAAATAAATAAATAAATAAATATACTAATATGTATATATATGTACATGTGTATGTAACATTAACAATTGTGTAACAAGCTTCACAAGATTGTCACTTGCTTAGATAAACAAACTAAATGGTTCAGTTCCTGAACCCATTATGTGCCTCAGTAACCCTTTCCACCACCACCCACGGGATGGGTATGGGGTGCATAATGAAGAAAGAAATTGAAAAATATGGCACTCCGCGCGTCTACAACATATCCATAAATTAGACGATTCTTAATTAAGTTACTTCTCAACCCCGCATCTACTCCACTATGGCCTGCCTACTTAAACTGCACAGAACATAAGCACTACACAAGCGATATAACCAAAATAACCTACTTAACCAAATATAATAATCATTCTCGACTCACAATAGGATATTTAGGGTTTAAATCCCGGCCGGGACATAATGACTGGGTGTGTTTCCAACCCCTGTCCACTTAAGCAGTAAAGCGGGCACCCAGGAGTTAGTTCAGCTTGTTGTTGGTGTTCAGCCTGTTGTTGTTGTTTAAGATTCGCTATCTGGAACAAAAAGTTCCAAGTAGCACGGGCTGTGGTGAGCCCGCAGTTTATTTTAGTTCAGCCTGGGGTAGGGTCAGTAGGCAAGGCTTGTCCTCAGTTCGTATATCCTGTAACCAAGTTGATAGAATTCGAGTATCCAATAAGTTGTTGTTGTCGAGTGATGGGCGACAACGATCAAGGGATCGGATGCGCCCTTTTGTTGCAACCTTTCTTATATATATATTTGTATCATAACTAAGATACCAATTATAAATTCCTACATTTCAGTTCATAAATTTATCATTAAACAAATATTCAATTTGTATTTAATGGTTTACGAATGTTGTTGTTGTTGAAGGTTTAGGGGCAGCTACAGCACAGGGCCGTATGTACCCCGTCGTTCCAGAATGTAAAACTGTGTCAACATCCGATCCCACGATCGTCGTCGCCTCTAAATATACCACCTTCCTAGATCTTAAGTCTGCCTTTGATATTGCAAATAGACATGTTATCTTGAGTGAGCTTGCAAGAATGAACATTGGTGGTCGGCTTCTTTGTTGGATCAGGGGTTACTTATCCAACAGGAAGTCATCTGTATTTTTCCAGGGGCATAGGAGTGTAACAAGAGACTTTGAACTAGGTAGCCCGCAGGGAGGTGTCCTCAGTCCTACCTTATTTAATATCTTAATAAACACGCTGTTAAACTCTATTCCGAGCAAACCCAACGTCCACATCATTAGCTATGCTGATGATATAATGATACACACCACTGGGTATGCTAACACGCAGAACACTCTAACTCTGTATTAGACTCATATCAGGACCTAGGTTTAATTATCTCAGCAGAGAAAACAAAGATACTAAATCGGCGCCCACCCAGGCAGGGAGGAGCTGTTCGCAAGATGCAACTGTCTGATGGCTCCCAGCTTGACTATGTTAACATATTCAAATACCTTGGCCGTGAGGTGCCACTGTATGGTCCTGTTGTATTCAGACTCTGTCGTCAGTATAAATAGAGGCTCCGAGCTCTCAAGGCTGTTGCAGGTTATCACTCAGGCTATGGTGCCAATGTCAGAATTGTCAAAATGATGTACCTTGCATACATCAGATCTTTAGTGGATTATGCTGCACCTCTGCTTGTTTTGATGCCTGAAAGAAAGCTTGGAGTGCTTGAAAAATTGCAGAACGAAGCCTTGAGGATAATTCTTGAGTGCCCTCGTACCACAAAGATACTTAATATGAGAAAGGAACTTAATATTCTGAGCGTTGTTGATCGTGTTACTGAAATTAACTGTCAAATTGGTATAAAAATGCTTAGGCTAACTCATCCTAATCCTTGCACAGAAGCCCTCCAGAATTTCTTTATTGAAGATCAGCATTGTTCCAAATGGATAACAAAAACTGGAACTCAACTCAGAATGTATCAGATTCATTTGTACAACAACGGCACTTTCCAGCACCGTGGGAGGTTACACCCTTTCCAGTTTTAATCCCTCCCTTTCCACCCAAGAAGCAAATTAGAGATCAGCCCAAGCTTCGTCTTGAGGCTAAGCTCAACGCCTTAAGCCATATTGATGCTCTGTCCACAGAGCATTCTCTCTCTCAAATCATATACACTGATGGTTTCCTACACCGCCGTCCAACAGCCTGGTTGATCAGTCCAGCAACCAGGAGGCCTGGTCGACGACCGGGCCGCGGGGACGCTAAGCCCTGGAAGCACCTTAAGGTAACCTCAAGGTAACCGCCCCACGGGTGCAGCTGGAAGTGCAGTTGTCCTGACAATGGGCGATAGCTTGTACTTTGAGTGGGGAGTCCGTATAAACAACTGGGCCTCTACCCTTCAGACCGAACTATTTGCCTTGATCCTTGCACCGAAATGTGTACAAGTCTCCAAACTTGATACATTAATTGTAAGTGACTCCTTATCATCCTTAAATGCTCTCAATTCTTTAAGACATAACTGTAACATGCTCGTGTCCGAAGCTAGACACAAATACAACAAAATTATTAAGGATGGTAACAGAGTCCATTTCATGTGGTCTCCATCTCATGTTGGCCTCCGAATGCATGATAGAGCTGATAAGTTAGCCAAGGAATCTGCCTTTAAAGGAGCCGTTGAGTGTTACCTTGGATTGTCAATGAGCAATCTGAGAGCAGCAGTACACCGAGAACTTCAACAAGATCTTATAGATCTGAGGCAAAGTGAAATTGACACCAGTAATTCCATCTATCATCATACTATCATGCAAGAGGAGCCACACATCTATGGATCCTCCAATAAAATCAGCAGACTTCTAGATGTTACTACTGCTCGGCTTAGACTCGGTTACAAGTATCTCTGGGAATTCTCATTATCTGCTGATGTAGACCTGACCAAATGTAAACTGTGTCAACAAAATTATTCGCACACCCTCCGTCACTATGTGATGGAGTGCGAAAAGATCCGTGAATTTAGAGACAATTCTATAACCAATGTTCCAGCGATGTGTAAATATTTCATTCAAAATGATCTGCTACCAGGAATTTTAGCCAAATATCCCCAGGTTTCTAACTGTAGGTAGTAGCTAAGTGATTGTAACCTATCCACCGCTCCCCACTGGATGGGGGGCCGTGTGCAGGACAAACATAAAAATTTTGACACTAGCTCTCCACATATGTCAGTTGCTTAATTTAGAACCTGTACTTGAGGTCGATCTCGAACCCATTGTTGATGTGACGACTTATATTGAATTTTGTAACTAGCTCATCAAGATTGTAACTTGCTTAGCTAAATGAATTGTGGGGTTCAGTCCCTGAGCCCATTATGTGCCTCTGTAACCCTTTCCACTACCGCCCACAAGATGGGTATGAGGTGCATAATAAATGAACTAAACTAACTCTAAATCAACACAACAACAACTGTGTGCAACATAATAAATGAACTAAACTAAACTAACTAAAGTCGTCACATCATAAATGGGTTCGAGATCGACTACAAGTACAGTTTCTAAATTAATTAAGCAACTGACATATGTACTCACCTAGTTGTGTTTGCGGGGGTTGAGCTCTGGCTCTTTGGTTCCGCCTCTCAACCGTCAATGAACTGATGTACAGATTCCTGAGCCTACTAGGCTCTGTCATATCTACATTTGAAACTGTGTATGGAGTCAGCCTCCACCACATCACTTCCTAGTGCATTCCATTTACTAACTACTCGAATGGAGTAGTAGGCAGAACTACTAACTACGCAAATATGTGGAGAGCTAGTGTTACTACCGCCCACAAGATGGGTATGGGGGTGCATAATAAATGAACTAAACTAAACTAAACTAACTAGTGTTACAATTGATATGTTTGTCCTGCATCCCCCCCCCATCCAGTGGGCAGTGGTGGATTGGTTACAATCACTTCGTTCATTCAAAATGAGCTGCTACCAGAAATTTTAGCCAAATATCCCCAGTTTGCTAACTGTAGATAGTAACTAGGTGATTGTAACCTATCCACCGCTGCCCACTGGATGAGGGGCGGTGTGCAGGACAAACATATCAATTATGACACCAGCTCTCCATATATGTCAGTTGCTTAATTTAGAAACTGTACTTGTGGTCGATCTCAAACCCATTGTTGATGTGATGACTTATACTGAATTTTATAACTTGCTTAGCTAAATGAATTCTGGGGTTCATGTGCCTTACATGAGGCATATAAGGGTCCTTACTAGGGTCCAGCAACAGCAAAATCAAGTTCAAGTATGTTTATTGAGACAAGAACGAAATACATCTCAAAGGGATAGAGTAGCTTAGGCTATTTCTACCCCCTAACTACAGCAAATACATTTCAGTAGGGACTATATAGTATGGAGCTTAGAGCAGGTCACTAGGGACAGTAATTCAAGGAGATTAGCGTGCAGCCCGTCCTCATAAACAAAGTCCATTCCAGGCACCAACCAAACCCCCTGCTTATGAATGAAAAACGGTTTACACACGACTCATAACTGATGACGTTCGAACACTTCCGGAACAAGTGCGTCACTGACGACTTTTGTTCGAACCACAACATTGTAAATACTTCACCCACGTACTACAAATAATCACCATCAGAACCTAAACACCTAACCTAACCGATACCTAAATATGCACAATATGCTAATATAAAATAATATTAATTTATATTTGAGAAAATTTCTATTTTGAATGAACAGCATGTTAAAAATTGACGAATGCGTCTTTGGGGTCGACCGCTGGATGGAATGGGCTTGATCTGAGGACCGGGTTGCACCGGGACCCTAGATTAACCCATTTTCACTATCCTGTTTTTGTAACGAAATAAATTGTTAGCATCAACAGTGCTACCTGTACTATTTGTCCACTACCATATTGGCAAACTTATATTTGTCAATATCCTCTTAAAACTCGAAGTTATCTAATTTTTGACTATTGTTACCAGTTTTCATCTGGTTCGATAGTTAAAGAAAGTGTTTGTATCCGAATTGTAAATGCTTTTCATACATTGTATGCTTGGATCATACCTCCTTTTGTTTTATTTCTCTCAAGACAATGTAACTTATGTTTTCCTTGCCTGGTATCAACACAGGACGAAATTAGAAAGACAGATGAATGCCTTGGGCGTGTGTGAACGTATGTTGTGTGTGCAGGTAGTGCACACGAGCACTACACTACCTACCTACTTCCCAAGCCACTGTTATTGTTATAAACAGCAGCCTGGTGCTTCGGAGCTCATTAACTGTTTAATAATTGTAAACAAAGCCGCCAAAGATTCAGAAAGGGAGCCGGTCGGCCGAGCGGACAATACGCTGTGCTTGTGATTCTGTGGTCCTGGGTTCGATCCCAGGCGCCGGCGAGAAACAATGGGCAGAGTTCTTTCACCCTATGCCCCTGTTACCTAGCAGTAAAATAGGTACCTGGGTGTTAACTGTTACGGGCTGCTTCCTGGGGGGTGAAGGCCTGGTCGAGGACCGGGCCGCGGGGACACTAAAGCCCCGAAATTATCTCAAGATAAGCCTCTGTAACCCTTTCCATTACCGCCCACAAGATGGGTATGGGGTGCATAATAAATGAACTAAACTAAATGTAACATATTTGTAAATTTTGCTGGAAATTATTTACTTAAAATTATCTGTTAGATTAAGGTCCTGCCCGAAACGCTGCGCGTACTAGTGGC